CAAAGCAAATCTAGTTGGATTGATCTATCAAACCTCTCATCAAACGCAGGGTTAACATATATATCAAATATATGCACAGACCTTCTCCATGTGGCTCCCCAGATGGTGATTGGCACGTAATTAATCGCCATCAATACTCTTCAGTGTAAATAAAAGTTTGAAAACGATGCTGCAATTAGTTTGCGTAAAAAATCTGTGTGCCCTCTGATCTGAAATTGAAATCAAGGAGACTGCTTTATCTGTCTTTTTCATGCTTACAAGTTACTCATCAACCACTTTAAAAGATTAGCCCTTTGAGTCACTTTCATTCAACAAAACTAGTAGAAAACAATCTTTTCTGATGATCTTCTGTTTCAGGATCAAAACCCTGAAGGCAATGCCTTTGCGTTTGGGCTTGGGAACATTCTATTTTTAGCTTCATTCAAAAGATATTTCTGATGCTGATTCAAAACTTTTGGCATTTCCCCATACATGTTTGCTCTTAGTGATTAACTTTTGTTGAGAAAATGCACCTTTGCTTAGTAACTTTACAAATAATGGATCTGATAGAAATAATTTAGGCTTAATACCTCTTTTGGTCTCTAGAAAGGAGGAAAATGTTCAACTGCGTCCTACGTCTTTTAAAAAGTTAAAAAAGGTACCAACTTTTGAAAAAACTGTTCAATTTAATCCCTTTTGGTCACGACGTTAATTTTTTAACGGTGCAGCTGACAGCGTGGACAAAACATAATTACGTGTCTAGTTTATGTCATTACGTGGCAGTGACGTGTAAAATTTAAATTTTAAAAAAAAATATTTTGACAGAGGATAGGGATAGGGCTGCTTGCTTGCGTTGAAGATGGGCCAAGCCCAAACCTCTCTTAGGGTTTCCTCCGTGAGAATGAGCAAGAGAAGGGAGGCCTTTATGAGGTGGCCGTTTGGCCTCCCGAGAAGAACGAGAAGCAGGCCGGAGACACCATGTCTCCGACGACGACCACGATGATGAACGACATCGACACGGAAGCTCTGAATGGCCGGAGGCAAGCGACGACGAGACCCGAAGCCTGGTGTTGGCTGCTTACGCGAGGAGCGGTGAAACTGTGATGGCGCAAGGGTTTGGGGTCGCAGTCACGCGACTTACAATAGTGTGCTGGCGACGGTAAGCTTGGTGGTGAGCGACGACGGTGGGAGCTTCATGGTTGCGGTGGAGACATGATGTGGATGGGGTTGGGATGACTAGTTTAGAGTTTGCAGACTAAGTGGAAATTGTGAGATTTGGGACGTATTCTTGGGTTGAATGTACTGAATTTGAGGGATTTGTTTGTGCTTTGATCCGTTTTTTTTTTTTGCAGATGAAAGAAAATCTTGAGATTAGATGAAGATCACGAGTTGGTATCTTGATGTTGGGTATCTATTGGTATTGAAAGGGGTTGAGAATGAACTTGATACATTGTGTAGGATGGGTAGGATGGGGCGTGAAATTGAACCTAAATGGGTATGATGAAAGTCACCCGTCGCGAGTTCATCGCGAATAATGAACGTCATCCCTCTCGCGAAAATCACCCAACTAAGATTCGCTATCAGCACATCAAACTCTTCGAACCTGCAAGTAAATCCTTCATGTCTTCCATCAACATCTGCATCTTCTTCAATACAGAGCAAACAACCCCTACCCCTCAAAATATTTTTTTTAATTTAAATTTTACACGTCATTTAACTTCAGACAGCCACACATTCACGTAAAATAGACATGTCGTACTGTTCAGTCCATGCTTTCAGTTGCACCGTTAAAAAATTAACACCGTGACCAAAAATGATTAAATTGAACAACTTTTTCAAAAGTTGGGACCCTTTTTAACTTTTTAAAAAACGTAGAATGCAGTTGAACATTTCCCTCCTTTCGAGGGACCAAAAGAGGTATTAAGCCAATAATTTATGTTATAAACGGTTCGGGAACGTATTTTGAAAGTGACTTCAGTATAGTTCATTTTGTCTTGATAAAACAGTAAAAGTGTTTTGAATTATATAAATAAGTGTTTTTTTTTTCTTTTGAAATTGTGGGTCAATTCTGCTCACTAGAAAAGTGGGAAATATCTCGAAACCAATTCAGATAACTACAAAATTGATGCTGAGGACCAAGAAAACTAATCATAGTGTAAACTGATATTGTATATCCCCATTTTGAAGGCTGGAAACAAGTGTTTGTTTGCTACCAACTTGACTTCATATACTTGAAAGACAAACAGACTTCATCCATTTTCCGCATTCCCTTGTCCCCTTTTATCTCTCATTTGTAAATAAAACACCCAAGGCCAACATAAACATTATCTAGAGTTCTTTTCTCAAAAAGAAGAAAAGAAAAATTGATTAACTTTTTTTCAAAAACGATTTAATGTCATTTTTTGTCTCTATTTTCGTTCATTTTGTTAAATATAAGACTTGACTTTTTCAAGTGTTTTCAATTTTTGTAATTTTTTTAAATTAGTCATTTTTCATGATGATATCTAGATCGTTAACGACATAGTGTCCACGTGAGTAATGAGTGAATGAGTTGTTAGTTTTTTTGCATACGTGACAAGTTAAACAACCAGTGACGTAAAACTATAATATTTGGAAGTGGTTTTCTTCAAACAAACTCTCCCTCCCAATCGCAAGATCCACATCCCTCCGCTACCATAACTCCATCATTGTTGCATCACCGGTCACCAAACTCTCCCTCTTCGCCATTACGCTCTTGCAACACGCCACAAGCTTGGACTTTGTGTCCTTGAAATTCCCCTTCTCCGTCTCCTACACATCCCTCAAAGAAGTGCTCCCTTCTCCGAACTTCTTAGTCCCCTTTCTTGTTCTCGCAGTGTGAGAAATTGTTATGATTGTTTTCAAAGAGAGAGTCTCGAATTGGAGACACTAGTGGGAGCACTTGGAGTTGGACCTATCTTGTTTTTTTTAGAATGTATTCTAACAAAATTAAAATAAAATTAGTTTACATATATTAGTTTTTAAAATTAAATTTAGAACTTAAATAAATTAATTTTAGTTTATAGTAAAAAAATGAATTCATTTTTATTTTTTCTTTTTTTCTAGTTGCATGTGACTTGCATTGTTTATTAACATTTAGAATTTTTTGTAGTAGTCAATTTAAGAAAGATAATGATATTTTGACAAAAAAAATTTGACAACATTTTAACATAATCAACGTGTCATTCTGTTTGATCCATGTTGGTGTTTATGATTATTATTATTATTATTATTATTGATTGTGAAGTAATTTTGGACCAATCACAGAATGACAAGTAGATGATGTTAAAATGTTGTCAAAATATCATTATCCATTTAAGAATGATTCTCAAATTGAAATGTTTATGGAAAGGGAAATTTACCTTAGCGAAGGATTTGCTGAAAAACTTTAGACTGTGCAACTAAGAAATCTAGAATTTGGAAAATTGTAGCTTTTGCTAAGAAATCTAGAATCATGTTTTTCACTTTTGCGGTAGAAAAAGTTTCAAATTGATTATTTATAAACAAAATGAAATATAAATAAGATTAGTAAACTGTCCAAATGTTCTTCTAGTGCACTCTTTCAAACTATCACGAGAAGAAAAATTCTACAAACTCTCACCATATAATAACAACATATGCAAAATTCTTCTGTCCTATGAAAAGTGTTACAATAATCCTACAAAATATATAAAATTTTAGCATAAATTTTGACAAGGTTTCACTTGACAAATTTTCTTCTCCCAACTCCCCCATGAATACTGTAAACTCCCAATAAATCAACAACAATTTATCATTCTTTACTTTATTTTTTTTCTATAAATAAATTTTATTATGTGTAATTCTCAATTTCATCTGTAAGAAGAAGAACACTCATTACACACCAAACAAATAACCATTTACACGACAAACAACATTTTACTTATTTCTCCAAACCATCACCACACCCAATTCAAAAACAAACAAAACCCAAGAGAAAACGACAAAAGCCCTAATACCCTAATACAAAAAACCAATCTTAGATTAAGAACGCATACCTAACCTAGTCTTTTCTTTCGACTTCCATTTTGAATGAAAAATTAACACACTGCTACATGCAATTTCCACGAAAAAAATCACTTCCAATTTCCACGAAAAAACCCACTTCCAATTTAAATGAAAAAACTACATTCAAATATCAATTTTCTTCATCATTATTTATTTAACTTGCCAGGCCAAATAGTAACAACTATTCACTAATTGTTCACTGTAACTTTAATAATTTAAATATCATAACAAAAAATGTCAAATTATACAAAAATTACGAAAATTAGAGCTGAATATTTGAAAGTAAACAAAAATAAATACCAAAAGTGTATTAAGTCTTGCTAAAAAAACCATGATTTTAGCTATCATTTTCATTTCATTTTTATTATAAACATATGAATGAAAAAGATAATGATATTTTGACAATATTTTAATATTATCTACATGTCATTCAGTAATTGGTCCATGTTCGTGTTTATAATTATTATTGATTGTAAAGTAATTTAAGACGAATCACAAAATAACAAATAGATGATATTAAAATATTGTCAAAATATTATCGAATGAAAATTATCCAATTCTTTCACTCATAAGCAAAGCCACCCTACACGCTACACGGAATCCAATGCAAAGGATGCAAGCGAAATTATATAACTGGCATTTTCTGCTTTATACAGAACTTCTGAACAATGCATAAATAATCTTGAAATGTAGATAGTTTAGCTTATCACAAACTGAAAGTCCAAATTGAGCACAAATGCAAACTTATTATGAAAATAACGTATGATCTGCCTATGAAATTGTTTACCACTTATTTCAATGAATGATCTCTTCAGGGTATGATATAAACTTTTTATAATATGACAAACAATAGTTTAACCTTATTCTTTTTCTACCATTATAGAAAACAATGAACACAAATGCTAATATGATAAACACTTTATTCATTAAGTACACGATTAAGCTATGTACCAAAACGGGCCTAGTTTACAAACATCTCAACATCAAACAACTCTAAAATATACTATGCTTATAGCAGAATCCGCATACTGTTTGTATTCTATACAGGGATATGTAGCAGAAAAAAAAAATATGGAATATCAATCAGAATAAGAGAAGACACAAAACTACGCAACAAAGGAGGAAAAATGTGATTCTATTGAGTGACCTATCAACTTGCATTAAGTGCCTTATTACCCTTGGATTACTGTTCCCTGAAAGATCATATGAATTCGGGTATGTGTAGATGTTAGTCATTTGGTTTCCAAAGACCCTTGCATATATCATCTCTCCAAAGACTCCGTATGTTGGATCAAATGCATTGGCTAGTGAACCACCAGTGTTGAACATTGATGAAGGGTAACTGCCAGGAATTGAGTTGAATTGTTGAGGATGATTGGGATAATGGCGGTGATAAACATGTGAAGTATGTCGGGAAACAGTTTCAGAATCACGTGATCTTGATGAGTTGGTCAGCCATGAAGGACCAAGGGGTCTTCTTGGTATCACAATCCCTACTTGGTGACCTTTTCCTTTGGAGGGTAGTGTGGTTTGGTCACGGCCATATAATGGAACAAGTGATGACTGTGAGATTTCTGATTTGCACACTGGACATTGTTGCTTCTCTTCATTTTCGGAGGAGGCACTTTGGAAGTTAAGCCATTTGTAAATGCAGGGCCAGCAGTAGAGGTGACCACAAAGAGTGACAACTGGATCTTGCACACACTCCAGGCAGATGTTGCAATCAAAGCCACTGGAGGCTTTTTTATCCGAATCTGCAATATCATCTTCACCAGCACATTTCCATGTTTTCAGAGATGATATATCTTCAAAGGAATCCAACTGGGGCACAACGTCCTCAAAATACTGGTTTAAGGCCATGTCTCTTTTGTCTTGTGCAAAGTGTTATGTGCAGTGTGCCTGAATCTGAAAAAACAAAAGTGCAAGAACAGTGAGTGTCTGCTAATAGGTAATCCTAATCCATAAATGCTAAAAGGTCTAGAAATAGGTATACATATTAATATGGGAAAAACTACTAGAAATAATGAGCTTTAAATGAAAACGAAAATGCATCCAGAACAATTCATTCATCTTTATTAGAAAGCTTTGTACAAGGCCAGTAGACAACCAATTCAGATTTTGATTTGGCGTCTTGAATTTTCTAGAACCTCTCTGGAAATTTTCTCAAAGTGATTAATATAGCACACCAAGTTTTGGTAGGCTAGCAGTAGGTTAACATCAGCTCACCTACCAAATTTTCAGTTGTTTCAACACAAATATCATGTGATTCAATTTGTTCAATCACCAAATTTCTCATCTAAGAAGAGAACTACAAGACAAAAATGTTTAATTTTCTTCTGAGTAATTAGAGTTAGAAATTGCCCCGTAATTGTGATATCCCTTTTAGAGAAAAAGGAACTAATATTCAACACCGAGTCTACTTAGTGATTGCACTCACTGATTACCATTAATTGCGATGACAAGAAGAAAAAAACACCAAAAACAAAAAGAGGACTGTTGCAGACCCACTCCCCCACCTACCTGCTTAAAGAAATAATCATAAATCTAATCTAAATAAAGAAGCTAGAATTACTAAACTCTATCAGAATTACTCTTGCACCGCTTCCAAAAGTACATTCAGAAGAAAAGGTACAAAACGTGTGCTTTCCCAAAAATTCGCTCAAAACGGTTATTCAATGTACATAGCAATAGCGAAGTCAATGAATAGTCATAACAACACCCCAAGAGTTAAATTAAGGAAGCGTTTCTATATACAAGAGGTTCTTCTAATTAGGAAGAAGAAGAAACCCTCCAAGCAGAAAAATATGACAAATCTCAGTGTTTCCCTGAATAATTATAAAAAAAGCAGGAAATATAATATAAATGGAGATTAAATCTATGCAATAATCGTAATTCAATCTTCAAGCGACCGTGGACCCTATACTTAGAATCATAGACCAAGGTGAAAACCAAAATTGCTGAGTTGAGAATTATCAATATCAAGAGATGAAGAAAAACAAAAGACGGTGAAAAGCGCGTACTAAACAGATGAAAAATGACAGTAACATTTAAGGCAAAAGGAAGAAGATTCTAGATTCCATGATTTTCACTGAGAAGGGTCAGAAAACTGAATACTAGGTTTGAGCTTTGAACATAAACCTCTGCAAAGAAAGTTCATTCAGAATATGGCTCCTCAAATAAAACCATTGTTGGAAACTATGAAGAACTCCAAAGCAGAGGATGAAGTAAAAAACAAATCTTTTCCCAGTACTTTCAAAAAAAGAGAGATTTTTTATAGCAGATTTGAAAACCCAGATGAAAACAAGAGGGTAAGGAAACATGCAAATAAGAAAAGGACCCGATTATGAGAGTGGGAGAGAAGGGTGTGTGAATACTTACAGATAAGAGAATTGAGGAAGAGAAGGTGTTAAGTATTGAATGGTGAAAGAAGAAATTGTGAGAGATGTGGAATGAATTCAAAGAAAGAAAGAGAGTGGTGATTTGTTTTATAGGCAGAGAAGTCAGAAGAAGAGAAAGTTGAACAGAGTAGCTTCCATCAAGCTTCTACCATTACTGCCAAATAATTATTTTTTATTCAAAGTTAAAAAATAAAGAAAAGTAAATTTTGGCCAACGGTTCGGGCTCCTCTCTCCACGGCTTGCCCACCGGATATTAACTTTTTCTTTCTTTTAACAAACGTTAAAGATATTAAATTATATCCTAATATATTTATAAATTATTTTTACATAGAATCATTTATTAATCTAATTATTGAATTATAATTATATATTACATTTACTTTTTCAGTAAGGTTTACTAAATAGTAAATATTCCATATATATGTTCATAGAATTAATATATTCTTTTTTGGCATAATTAAAGTAAAAGGAAATCTTGATGATTTTTAATTTAATAATTGATCATTCAATTAAAGTTATATATTTTATTTTTGTGTGTGAGATCTACACTCACTTCAAGAATTTCGTAATTATAATATGCGGAAAATGTTAACTACATATATCAGTTAATAATTTAGTGTCTTTTAAGAGTGTCATTGGATCATTCAAATATTGCTTGCACAGGTTAAAAGAAGAAAGTGTGAAAATTAATGTACTGAAAATGTAAAAATACGAAAATGACAAAATTTTAATTTCAACTTTCGACCTTATTGAAAATGTATTTCTATAGAAAATGTACATAAAATTAATTATTTTGAAAAAAGTAATATTATTTGAAACATAATATTTATTATTATTATTGAAGCTTGTGTTATTTATTATTATTGTTTCGTATTTGTATAAGTTTTTATGTTATGAATAATTTAAATAAACGATTGAATATTATTAATAAATATTTATATATTATATAGTATAAATAATTAAAAAACACTAAAATAATACACAAAAAAGAATATAATTAAAAATTATTAAATATATGTTTTTATATTGCAATAAAATAAATAATTAAAATATATTATTAGAATAATAATTAAAAAAATCAATTTAAAACTTGACATGTTATGAAGTGATATATTTTATTATATAATTGTTTTCTAATATATATTTTTTATTTATTGATGTAAAAATTTAGAAAATAACATTATAGAGGTTTAAAATGAGTGAGATTAACTCCATTAATATTAAAAGATTTTAATATAAATATAATTTTGTTAAATGCGAGTTTTATTATTTTAAAATATATATTTATCTCTAAACTATTTTTTTATTTTAAGTTTTCTAACAGTAAGTTGTTTTCATTTTTTGTTTTCAATTTTTGTTTATTTGATTGAAAGGTATAATTAATTCTAGGGTTAAATATGTTTTTAGTCCCTAAACTATTGGCCGTTTCTGGTTTTCGTCCCTCTTCCAAACTAAGGTACAATTTGGTCCTCATTCTTTAGAAAAACGTTCGTTTTAGTCCTCAAAATTTTGTTTTTAGTCCTCAAAATGTTCGTTTTTTCGACTAAAACGAACATTTTTTAAAGATTGAGGACCAAATTGTACCTTAGTTTGGAAGAGGGACGAAAACCAGAAACGATCAATAGTTTAGGGACTAAAAACATATTTAACCCTTAATTCTATCAGCGAACTCTTTAATTTACACGGATAATAGTTCAATTTTTTGTTTTATTAATCAGTCTTATTTTTTTTTATACGAGTACGTTGTATGTTCTGATGCATACTCGTTAATCAATCCTAAAGATGTATCCTAATCACATCTATATGACTCATAAGAATTATATGACTTTCTTTGCTTATAAAGTTATTTTAGGTCTATACCGGTTTGATCTTCTCAATTTAATTAGACTTTTTTAAATAATTTAATAACAAAATTTCATAAAAACACTTTAATATTTAAATATTTCGTTCAAAAATTAAATAATTCGTCTTTCTATACCTAGTAATGTTTCATATAATTCATAGAAAATAATACAATTAAATCATTAACAATTTAATATTTGAACATATAGTTTCACATTTTTTACTTTTATTATCTAAAATTATTACAACAATTAAAAAATACGAGTATAATATTTTACTCATATTCTATTGTTTAATAATTTAAAAACAAAAAATACATTTAGGTGTAGTTATAAAAGAAACATTTAGGTGTAACTAAAAAGAATTATAAAAGATAAAAAAAGAAAATAATTTTTACTTTAAGAAAAAAAATATTTAGGTATAATTCCTCTTTTCTTTTTTTCAAATTCAAAACGCAAAATAAATTAAATAACGAATTCGCTTTTCAAGAACCCGAATTTGGATTGATTTTCTAGCCAACCTTGTTACACATAAGTTCATAATTCAATTTTCTAATAACCGAATTCTCGCCTATAAATAAAACCATGCTTTTTGTCTAAATATGATGCACGCATAAATCTAAAAAAAAAAATCATGCTATCTCAAAAAAAAAAAATACAACGTCAAGAAAGACGGTAACATCCCAAAATATATAGTATAAATTATATTAAAGAGAAGCTATAAGTATGATAAAGTATACAGTTATCCATCTAGGATATAAAGTGTTACCTTTACAATCATCCAAAAACAACTATAAATTTAAACTTTATATATACATACTAAAAGATACTCCAAAACTATACAAAAACGTCTACTAAACTAAGTCAACTACTCAGCAGTATCACCTCCATCCAAAGCTTGCTTCAGAGAAACCTCTTCTTCTGCTGCTCACATCCAAAGGATGATCATTGCAGAAGAAGAACATTAGAACATACAAAATACAAGCACACAATAGGGTAAACTAGTTTAAACAAAGATTAATCATACATCAACTTATTTAACTTCATACAATCATACTATTCATTCACCTCACATAAACTCTTCACACATAACACCACACTGACTTTGACTGTCCGAACTTAGAATGATTGCCGAGCTATGGCGGGTTGTGCACTCGTGGTGGCTTCTACTGCTTTGCAAAGTCATTGCCAATGGGTTTCACCCTACCACACTCACGAGGTTAGTCCGTTAGCACTCACCTTGGGCCATACTGGAAGCATCCAAGACTAGGACCTCCTGCTACTCCTCACGACATGGATCAATCCTCTCTACTTGAGAATGAAAGACCATTGAAATTTCAGGATAACCCCCAAGACTAAGCTCCTGCATTCATTCTAAACTTACTTGAATCTCAACTAGAGATTTCACTTTGAATCACAACATAGGGCACCACCATGTCTCCTCTCCTTGAGGATCATGGAATTACGTCCATTAACCATACTTTGAACTTTACACTTTGAAACCACCAACTTACACTTTGAAATACAACATACATCAATAACCAATGATATTACATGATACAACTTCAACTTACTTCATACAACACTCAATGTTTCATTTAAAACAATCTAAGATTAAAAGAAGAGTGAACTAAAACTGAAACCCTCGCACAGCGCACACATTCGCATAGCGAAACTAGAGGCTTCTCGCACAACGACCTAGCTCGTTGTGCGAATCCTCAAATAGAGACCACACCCTCTAAACCATTCGCATAGTGGTTATACTCGCTATGCGAATAAACCATGACTTGAATCAGACCCTAGACCCCCTCGCATAACGTCCCAGCTCGCTATGCGAGAACCTCAGACAGTGGCTCATGCTCCTTAAGCACTCGTAGAGCGAAACTCATTTGATGTTCGAATAAAAAGAATAATAGTTCCAGACCCCAACCAGTAGCATAGCGACTTGATTCGCTATGCGGATCAACAAACAGAGAGCAACCCTCTCAATCCATTCGCACAACGCACCTATTCGCTGTGCGAATGCCTTGGCAGAGAGCACCTCGCTAAGGTGACTCGCTATGCGAATCCATTCGCACAGCGAGTCTGCATAATCTGCAGAACGAAATTCTGTAGAATTATGCAACTCAACCACAACTTACCAATTCTATTCAATTTTTTCAACTTCTAACAGTCATAGATTGTTGTACAAACTTAATTAAACTTGACTAAGTGATTCTAAACCTTCCTAACATCAATCTAAAGTGTTTATGCATCAAATCCTACTCTAAAACCTCAATTTCCTCAACTTAGAGACTCAAATTCCAATTTACCACTTTGAACCTGATTTTGACCAATTTGATAACTCAAACAAGTCACATATGACTTATCTAAACTGCCCCAACGGACCATAACATCACTTGACCTCTAATGCTTAAATTCACTACCTCACTTCTTCTAAATTACACTAAACAAGCTCAATTCACTTCACTTTTTATCTAAACCCTACCATAACAAGTTTCTCACATAAAATACCTCCAACCAGTTAAATCACCACTGATAAATTCATCCAACTCAATTCATAAACATCACAATATAGTTTCATACATTAAACATTCCAGTACATATTATTCAATCTACTCAGCATACAAACAGTGTCCCAAAACAACATATTAATTCAAAATTTATCATACATACATATCATACAACCAATTGAGATAAAGTTTCTAGCTCCCCTTACCTCAGAGAGTAACAGCCCAACTCACATAGATACTCTGACAATGCCATACAATGCAAGAAAACTTAACAGAAACCTACTACTCACCAATTGATGATAGAAAACAACTCTTAGAGCTTGAATTTAACTAGAAAATGAAGGAGGAAACTATTAACCACATGCAAAGCAGAAACGATGCATGTTCACAGTCCAAAAAGGTACGGATAATAATGGAAACAACTTACCAGCTGAAGAACAAGAAATTGATCGGTCCAAACGAAGCTTTCAACGCCAGGATCGTCTAGGCACTTCCTGATCGTCAAACAGATAACTCAACAGTGAGAGATTTTAGAGAGAAGTCAGAGAATTATGAGAAATAGAGTTCTAGAGAGATGAAATGTTCTTAGAATAATGAGAAGTGTTTATAAAATTCTATTTATATTATAAGATTATTTTAAAGTAAAATAATTTGTCTCACTATTTTAATACACTTATATGCTCTATAATACTCTATTTTCTAGGTCCTTACAAAGTCAAACACTCATAATTTAAAAAATATATATGTTTGTGATAAAA